AAAAAAAAAAAAAATCACACAACAAATTTTAATCGCTGTAAAAAGGAGATTTTAATCTTCAAGGAAAAAATTTTTCATACAGATGTATGAATTTACAAAATTTTCGAGAAAAGAAGTACACTTCTTTTAGCCCCTCCAAAATAGTATAAAAATATTTTTGAAAGAAACGAACTTTGTACTATGAAAGTAATGGCTTTATTGTGTCGACAATTTTTCATCAAATATGAGAATACTGTGTCGAATGTAAATATCGTGGACGTTTAAAACTATTTCATAAAAGAAAAAAAAAAAATCGTAGAACAATCCACCTCGTCTTATTTTAAAGAATTCTCTTTCCCAGTGAATTGAATTATTTTTCCTGAAGATATTTTTGCACTATTTCAAAAGGAATAAATAAAGGTATTTTTTTCTCTTGCAAAGTCAACTGTCTTTATGGACACCGACAACATTTTTTTCTGCGACTAAAACCATTTTGAAGATTGAAGTCTCCCCTTTGTTCTACGATCTTTCTTTTTATAAAGTTATAAAGGGTTTAAAATACAATTTTTTTTATTATATACTACACCTACTATATGTCTATAATCTAATTTGTTTTATATAAATATAGACATAAAATAGATATAGATGTATATAATTTCATTCGTAAAAGCAATTTCTATTACAGATAAAAAAAAATTTTTTCTTTCAAAAATTTCTATAGATAATCTCTGTCATTTAATTTCTACGAGAAATCTTTTTATAATAGATCATTTCTGTTCTACCATATCATATTAAATTATTGTATCTTTCTATTTAAGGATCGCATAGACTTCATTGTTTGCTTGGGAGGCGATGGAACTCTTTTATATGCCAGTTTATTGTTCCAACAATCTGTGCCACCAGTAATGGCGTTTCACCTTGGTTCCTTAGGGTTTCTCACACCCTTTGAGTTTGACAACTTCCAAGAACAAGTGACAAACGTATTAGAAGGTAAGCATCGTAGAATTACTCGACGACGTTCTTCATAGCGATGGAAATAATCTTTGTCCTTCAATATTTCTTCGCCTTCCCCTTTCTCGATAACACAAGAGATGATAATGTCTAACGAGAACAAGCAAGTCATCGCACATTTTGTAGCATTATACTTATATTTACACGTTGCTAATGATTTTCTTACACGTGCATTCCTTTATTGACTGACCGGCAAAAACTGAAGGATTTCGAGGAATGCAATGGTGAAAATAAACGTGCATCAATACTGGAACTACCGATGACTAAATTAAGCAAATTTTCTATTTGAGAAGTCGAAGTGCAAAGAATAGAAATAGAGAAAGAGCGTGCGATAATAAGAATTATTTATATATAAAATCTTTGTGAAAATCATGTAAAAGAATTATTTCGTAATTCTTACCATTGCAATAGTTTTGGTGTTAATTGTTTTAATATGTAGCAGTAATTATTTTAATTAGAATGTGAATGTTTATGCACTTATAAGGAATTTCGTATTCAAATTCAGTACACAATATTTAATATGAAGAAGTATATAAAGTATATAAATTCAAATTCTGGTACTTTTGGTCACACTTAATACGCCAAATCAATTTTCTATCAAGAATCCATTTTTTTAATTTATTATATTTCAAAAAACACGAATTTGCATAAAAATCCACAATCTAGTTACAACACTTCGTTCGTATCAGCTTAGCATTCATTAGAGCCATTATATTTACCTCTGAAATCGAGGAAAAGCACACGGCATGAAAATCTGTCGATATGAGAAATTTGCGTTCGAAACTTGTCGACTATGTGATAAAAAGACGAATTATAAATCTGACGAAAGTTTGCCTTGTCTTTAGGTCACGCGGCCTTGACCCTGAGGAGCAGACTGAGATGTATCATCATGAGGAAGGGAGAGGAAAATAAGGAGGCGAAACCACCGACGAATTTGCTGGTACTGAACGAGGTCGTGGTGGATCGAGGTCCGTCTCCGTATCTTTCGAATATCGACCTCTTCATCGATGGCAAACATGTGACCAGCGTGCAGGGTGACGGCCTGATCGTGAGCACGCCAACCGGGTCGACCGCATACGCTGTCGCGGCTGGAGCCAGCATGATTCATCCTTCGGTACCTGCGATCATGATCACGCCAATTTGCCCTCACTCTTTGTCCTTCAGACCAATTGTCGTGCCCGCCGGTGTCGAGCTGAAGGTATTTCCGAATTTTTTCCGCTATCTTGCCAGTGTGCTGAACACCTTTTATAGTCAGTACAAGTTTCGACGAGAAAGAGAAGAAAGGGAGACTCCGAAATTTATAATCGTGTGATGGTGATTGTAGTGTAATTATTCGATTCTGATTCTGATCTTTGTTGGAGAAGATCATCTCTAAGAAACTTGTACTCTACACCAGTCACAGATTTCAGGTTTTTCAGTCATTGTAGAATCTTGAGAATCGAGGAACTTTCAAATAATGATTCAACAATTTTCAACATGAATCACAGACTGTAGAGTTGGACGAAATCTCTGTTTGTAATTGTTCAGCTCTAATTGATCTTTATTGGAGTCCATAAGAAATCATAGATTTGAGAGATTTCATGATCCAGTACTGTGGAATTTCTAAAGTCGAGGAAATTTCAAACGATGATTCATGCATAATTGTATGATAATCTGATCAGTAAATTATAACTGTGAGTTGCACGAAATATTTATAATTTCTCAGTTTTAATTAATCTTTATTTCATCTTAATCGTGAGAAAGTCAAGGTTTTCATAATCCAGTAGAGAAACTTTTTGAGCGACAACTATCTAATTGTATGTGATATCTAATTTAACAAACGTACTATAACTATAACTATACTTGTATAAAATTATACAAAGTCTTATTTGTAACTGTTCAATTCTTCAAATCTATAAGAAAGTTATATAAATTTGAAGCTGTTACAGCTCAATATTGTAGAATTTTTTAAATCCTTTGATTCTAAAAAATTCAAGAAACTTTTAACTGTAATACATTTATAGCATTAGTCCGATACAATATTTCCACGTGGATCAGTAGAGAATCCTTATCATAGTAATATCGGTATTTCATGACATTGCCTCATAGAAGGAAACTTGGTCCCAGCGGATGTTATCCGTATTGCCAGATCATGCACTGTTCTGTTGTTCTCTGAACAAATTTTTAAACTGTTATTCTAATGTGTATGTATCGTGGAAAATGCACACCGCATACCAATTAGATTTACTAACAAATTCATCCTATTTTTAGATTCAGTACAATGTGCATATTTGATCATCATCTATAAGTATTTGATCATTTCGTGGAATTCTTTTATTAATAGTAACTGATGCTAACTATTATTTCTATCATCACTTGCAATATCTATATAAATTTTTCAAAACAGAACAAACATTGAATATGTATAATCACAGTGCACAAGTTGCAAATTTCAAAGTACGTTCTCAATTATTAAGAATTCAAGATCTTATATTGCAAACAAGCGATTGCTACGCATTCAGCATTCAATCAATTTCGATACATCATCGTGTTGTAACAATATGTATAGGAAATACACACAGTGACAAAAGTTACAATGGAAAGTTTTAAAGTAGTTTAATCATATTACTCTTAAAATGAAGATGGTCAAATACTTATAGTTAATAGGAGAGGATAAGAGATAAAGAAAAATTCGTAAAAGATATCTTGCTCAATCTTTAAAGATTGACTTAACGTTCTTCCTTTCTGTCGCAGATCTCAGTTTCACCAGATAGCAGAAATACCTCGTGGGTGTCGTTCGATGGCAGAAATAGACAGGAGCTCTTCCATGGCGATAGGTAAAGATCAATCAATTTCCGACTGTGTATGTAGATAATCATTAATAGCAACGATAGCACAGCTACGTCTCCTTCGATCAAGGACTGGTCCGTCTTAAAATTCTTTTATTTTCATTGGCAATTTCCAATTTTTCTCTTTCTTCTGAGGTTTCATTTTTCCGTCATCAATTCGTTTGGAGTTTCTTTCTCACTGCTACAATTATTTTTAAGATTTCCATTATTAGACGTAGAAATTAGACGTTAGCTGTACTGCAAGTTGCAGGTACTATTAATGATTCGTTTACTGCTGCTTGTCACAGTTGTCACTAGACTGATTTTTATGCATTTATGAAAAGTTTTAAAAGTGAAGAAGTGCGTAGAATATGCGAAAATATGCAATACAATATACAATATACAATAAAAACATTTTTGTTTATTTTCCGTTTCTTTAATTACAATGAAGAACACGCTAGTGAAAATAAGGATTCTTTTATTCTTGAAAATTTTAGAAATTATTGAAATTTTTTTCATAACTAGATTTTTTTCACCATAGTTTTAAAGATTGAAGTCTCCACTTAAAATTTGCTGTATGATTTTTTTTTTTTATTATTATTGAACTTTCATTAAACAGCAAGATTTAAGAAGTCATTGTAAAGAAAAAGTTTCAATCTTCAAGAACATAGTAGATCCAATAATGAAAAAGATTTTTTCAATGATTTTAGAGACGTTTAAATTTTTATAATTTTCAAGAATAAAAATATCTTTACTTTAAAATAAGATAATATGAATTGCCGTATGCTTTTTCCTACAGAGTTATAACAATTTCTCATCGTTATTAGTTCAATTATACTCTTCGTTATACGTTTATAGAAGTATAAAAATGCATAAAAATTCTAGTTTTTATATCGTGTATCTTTTTTTTTTTACACGTTTCTATAATTTTCAGTCTAAGAGTAACCACGTCCATCTATCCAGTGCCCAGTATTTGCGCTGTCGACCAAATAACAGACTGGTTCGACTCATTAGCAGAGTGCCTGCACTGGAATGTTCGTAAGAAGCAGAAACACCTAGACGAACTAAGTGATTTAACTCATTCATCCAGCAACGATACCTTGGACTCTCTGGATCGTGATAGCTAGGCAAGAAGAAAGAATTGCAATAGACAATTGTTCCTAGATCAGGTCTTGAAGCATCATCATGTTCAGTGTTTTTATTCGTAAGATCTGGTCTCGGAGAATTTCAATGACTCAATGCGCGATTCATAAAAGGGACAAGCCTAATCTGTGTTCGTTTGGTTGTAAGGATAGAAGAGAATGAAATCGTCTAATAAGTCGTTGATAGAACTGAAAAATCATCACGTATCCTCTGGATATCCACCGTCAACGATATGATATAGCGGAACTAGAATTCTCGAAAGAACCTAATAGTATTTCGATACGTGCTCAAAAATAGTCGAGTAGCCGTGTTGCAGAAACTGCAAATTTTTCAAGTTGAAGAAGATCGTAAAAGAGTTTGCGCGTAATCAGTGAGTCAGAAAGTGTTTCCTATGTTTTCCAATGCATAATTCTACACTACAGAATGATGTTTCATTCTGATTCATTCTTCAAAATGGATCTTTATTCCTGTCATTTCTCTTTTTTATTCTTTTCTCTTCTTGCTTTTTATTGGGTTTTATTAAAAATGTGAGAAATACTAATGATACATTGTTGAAAGACAACTAGCATCGACGCAATTGCATAGAAGAAGCAGAGTGAATTATCAATGCATTCTTATGAATGCGCAGGACAAAGAAAGAGAAGTGAATTATGAAAAAGATACTTTGCATCATACACTCATATTTATTTATTATTCGCTCCTACTCTGATTGATAAGTTATGCGGATTCATATTGTCAGATTTCATTGATTGGACAGCATAAAGAGCACACAGAATGAAAATCAACTAAACAAAATGTTGTGGACAATATTTTTTGTTTTGCTTTCTGACAACGAATACAATCTAGTTAAGGATTATTCTTTTGTAAATGTTGAATGTACTTTTCCTATAAATGAACATTTTTAATAAAGAAGCATTTTTGTACAGAATATAAAGACCATGTTAATTATAATTGATATAACAACCAAAAATGCTTGTTTAAAAATCATCAAACGTACAAATCCTAGAGAGACTTATTAATTTACTATGTT